AAAATAAAAAAAAAAGGTCCTCGTTTTCCAAAATTTGCCGACTGCCATGACGACATTTGCCGACTGTCTAGATTATCAACTAACCTATAACGAATAGGTCGACATATGCCGACTAACTAGTCTAAAAGGGACCAATTTGCCGACGAAGGGTCTAATTTGCCAACTAAAAATCATTGATGGGGGGGGGGGGATGGGTGTGTGACACAAACACCCCCTATCGCGCCGGCCTTGTATGCATATATGTGTGTGTGTCTGTGTGCGTGTGTGTGTGTGTGTGTGTGTGTGTGTGTGTGTGTGTGTGTGTGTGTATGTGTGTGTGTGTTTGATTAAATAAAACTACAAAAATATTAAGTTTCTTAAAAAAATAAAAATAAAGTTTTTCAACTTCAAAAATCTTTTTGCCTGAAAAAAAAATTAAATTAAATCTCTTTCCCTTCACTGCAATTCCTAAAAGTTTGAAAATTCATTTCCACATCATAATGGCAAATACCGTTCCTCTCCTTCCATTCCTCTGGAAGAATGGGGAGAGAGTTTGATCTTTATTTAAATTTATATAAATCTTATATTAATTCTTCTAAAAATTTTGATCTATATTTTTAACTATATAAATTATACAAAATATAAACTAAATTTTTAAGAACTTCAATTTTAGAGCGCAACTCACAATGCAGCGCTATATAGCATTTTTATCGCCTATATTTTTTATCAGCAAATTGAGTTTTATACATAAGCCTGCTCTGTGTTTTCTAATGCGCAATTATTCAACGTTAATTCTTATTTCATTCCTTTAAAACTTTAACTTTAAATTTGGAATATTTGTGCATATTAATTATTCCGGTCCAAAACATTTGAAAATTTTTCAAATATTTTAAAACCTTTAAAAAAATCTCTTAACTATTTGAAAAAATATTTTCAAATAGTTATAAATAAATAGTTTCAAATTTTTTTAAATTAAAAAAAAAATTACAAGACAAAAAAACAAACTAACCGTAAACATAAAATTGTAAATAAAGAAAGTTTTTTTAAAAATCTGCATGTTTTCAGTCTAGAAGTCTAGTGTAACGAACGCATTAACTGAGCTTATAAAACTTTACTGGTTACGGTTTTAAACGATGTTCAGATCACGCATTTACCGTTGCGAGTTTTGCCAAAAAAATAAATATTTTTAGTTATTCTCAAATAATTCTATGTTAAACTTTCAGTTAAAACTTTTGAGAATTTCAAAAAATTCGAAAATTTTTTGAAAATTGTATTTTAAAAAATAACTTAAAAAATTTTTTTTTTCTTGAAATATGAGTTTTTACGCACATTTTTATATCGCAAGATAAATTAAACAGCCATATTGAGCAACCAGTATGATCAATTCGTATATAGCACGGGCATATTGAGCAACCAGTATGATCAATTAGTTTATAGCAACCAACCAGTATGAGCGATTAGCATAAACAACCTTTTACAAACTGTTTTAATTATTATTTTACAATTACAAAACGAACACTAAATAAATTATAAAAAAGTGAATTACAAAACTTATTCTGCTTCTTTCTTTAGTTAAATATAGTTAGGAGAAAGCAATAAAAAAGGGTGTTTAATGGAAGGGACAAAAAAGGGTGTTTAATGGCAGGGACAAAGCAATAAAAAAGGGTGTTTAATGGCAGGGACAAAGTAATAAAAAGGGTGTTTAATTGCAGGGACAAAAAAGGGTGTTAAATGGCAGGGACAAAGCAATAAAAAAGGGTGTTTAACGGCAGAGACAAAAAAGGGTGTTTAATGGCAGGGACAAAGCAATAAAAAAGGATTTTTAATGACAGGGACAAAGCAATAAAAATGGGTGTTATATGGCAGGGACAAAGCAATAAAAGAAAAAATACAAATACATAACTCATACTTACAAAACCGTAGAAAGAATGCAAAAATATGTACAAAATCTTGTTAGTAAAACGGAGGAACAAAAATGTTGCTGACAGTTTTTGGTTATAACCGCTGTAAAAAAGTAAGGGATAAAAGTAATTCATCCTTTGAATTGTTAGTTCTTCATAAATAAACTTTATAAAATTTTAAAGTAAAAAAAAAAACTGTAATTTCAAACAAAAAGCTTTTTTTTTGGATGAATCAGAAAGGAAAAATAAATTTTCAAGAATATTTTCTAAAGTACTTAAATCTTTACCTATAAAAAGACATGAAAATGTGTGTTATTTTAATGACCAGGAGAAGTCCTCTGTTTTTCATTATTAAAAACTATTTCTTATAGTTTTAAGATAAAATGATTTGTAGTTGTAAGGGTTTTAATGTCATTGATCATTTTTACTTGAGGTCTTTTAGAGCTGAGAGAAAACTCGGTGGTTTCTATAAGTTTTAGCATAAATGAGTTTAAGTTTTAACATAAATATATTCATTATTCAAATATCTAATAAGATATTTGTTCAAATTTAAAAAGAAAAGGTTGTGCGATATTTAGGATTCTTTATTAATTGTGTAAAAAAAATTAGATGGAAGATATTTATTTGTTTAGCATACAGAACTTTTAGATAAGCAAACAATTGTTGTAAGGAGCCATCCATAAACTACGTCACGCTCTAGGACAACCATTAAATGTTTTTTTTTTTTGTTTTTGCTTTTTGCATGCTAATTTATTGCATATTTTATTTTAAGTTAAAAAGGAATTTAAAGTTTTATTACAAAAAAATTTTCAAATATGCCGGTGTTGCTTGAGTTATGGAAGATGGTTATAAGCCAAGTTGTGGTTCTACTGACACCAGACCAATTGTTTTTTTTTTAATTTATTGCCTGGTGCATTTTTTTAATGTTGCTGAAATTATTGAATTATTTATACTTGCTGATTATTATTTACATATGCTGATTATTATTTATATTTACTGATTATTATTTATACTTGCTGATTATTACTTATACTTGCTGATTATTATGTAGATGTTGTGATACATGACGCAGTTTTTAAAGTTTTGTGTTGCATATTTAGTATGGTTGTAATTTGTGTTCATTAGTGTGGCGTGTTTTGTACGGCTCTTTTAGTTTGGTTTTCTGTTCAGTGTATTTGGAATGGTTTTTTTTGATAAAATAATTGAATAACAATAATCCATATAACAAGTCCGGTAACTTTGCGTTTTAAAAGGTTTAGTTGTTATTAGTATTTTGATGATGTCCAAAAGTTTTGTTGTTGGTGGTGTTGGATAGAAGTGAAAATGTTGAAATCAGTGTTGATGTTGATTTTGATGTTGATGATGTAAAAATTATTTACAGGGGAACTTGTAATTAGACTTAAGGAACATGTAATTAGACTTAAGGAACATTTTTCTATTTCAAAATAAAAAATGTCTTATGAGGCAACAAAACAAACAACTGTATTTTTCGAAACCTTTAATATATATTCAATATATGAGTTAAAATTAAATTTTAATTATTAAATAATTGACGCAACTTAGTAACATGAGTTACTAGTTAATCAAATTAATTATACCTTAGTATAAATAATTTAAAGATTAGGTTCATTTATTTCGTTAGGGTAGTTTGAGACAAGCAGAGGCCTAAATAAGTTAAGATTCCGACTTACTTATTAACTTGATATTGCGCAAGAGAAGTCAAGACTCGACCAAACAAGTCAACACAAAAGAGGAGACATGATAAGGCATGACCAAACAAGTCAACACACAAGATGAGACCTGACAAGACTTGATCAAACAACTTAAACGCAAGATGAGATATGACTCTGAATCAAGATTCAATGAAATTTATTTAAGTCAACACACAAGACTAAAGAAACAACTAATCTTATTCAAGTCAACGCGCAAGAGTCAAGTCTCATTGAAATTGTAATTGACATTTTTAAGTCAATTATACAAGAGTCAAGACTCAATAAAACTTCTTTAAGTCAACACTCAAGAGTCAACCAAAAAAGACACAACCAAACTTGTTTAAGCCGACACACAAGATTCAAGACACCAAACTTGTAAAAGTAAAACAAAATTGTTTATACGTTTGCAACAATAAGTATTATGTTTCTTAACACAAAGCCGTATATATAAAAAAATTATTTTCTATATATTCTCATTAATATAGTTGTACATTACTCTTTTGTTTAGTATTATATTTCTCTATTTTAAATATAATAAATGAAGATAATAAAACGTTAATTATTTGTTTTTTATCACTTTTTATACTTTATACTACATATTACATATTGAAGTAAATACTCCAAGATAAAAACTTATTTATTGTCAAAAATGTAAATTTATAATAATTTACCTTGTATTATATACAGCGGGTGATTAATATATATAAATATATATATTATTTTAAACCTTAAAAATTATATAATATACGTGTCATTAAAAATAAATAAATTATATTTTATTTACCTGATTAAAATATTTATTAAAATGTTTTTGTACTATAATAAGTAAATATTGTTGTAAATAAATGTTTTTTAGTTTTTTTTTTTTTTTTTTAATGTTTTATGTATATCTCAATGCCATATCGTTTTTTGTTGTTGTTATTTTTTTAGATTTGTTCAATTTATTCAAACATTTTGGTTTTCAAGGTTTTTTCCTATACTTTTAAACGTATTAAAAATTATCGAAAGTTTTTTGATAGATACCTTCAAAAAATTATAAAGTATTACAATAAATAATTTTAAATAAAGAAAGCGAAACTACCGATCAAAACTCTATTACAAATGTTTTAGCAAACGCGTTCGTGTTTACTTTTAATATTATTTTGAAAATTCCGTTTAAATGCAAACGTTCATTGTAAGCTCTTTCGTGCAATGATGCGTAACGGTGTTTATTATCAAGCTCAGTGATACATATGAACTTCAATTAGAAAATTGATGCCCCATTGGGCACTGTTAAATAAAAATCACACATGCAAGAAAATTACATTTGCAAAACTTGGAATAAGATTTTTTATTCACTTCAGGAAAGAAAATCTTATTTCGTTGTCAGTTAATCTTTGGTTAAAAAAGAAACTGATAGAACACGGGAATGGGGTTTAAAAACGTAGCAGTTGCCGTTTTCCTATTCATGCTGGTTAATGTGTACTCCAGAAAAAGTAAGTTGTTTTGTAACCTGCTAACATAAGTGGGAAGTTATTATTCTGAAGACTCAAAAAAAGTTTATAAAACTTTTGAAAACTCTTTCCATCTATTAACCTTTTCCTTTGTGAAAATTTAAACAATTAATTCGCCCATATTTATAAAAATATAGAGGCTGGCTTGTTATGTCGTACGCTTATTATATGTCAAGCACATTTTAAAGTTACTGCGTTGTTTAGGCTTTTATTTTGTTATTTAGGGCAGTGCTAAGTGCTAAGTGCTTGTGGGTCTTGTTTACGACATTGCTCTTGAGGTTGTTCTGTGTACATTTTTTAGGGCGTTGTTAGGACATTGTTTATGGCGTTTTTTTAAGGCATCGTTAATGTGAAAGTGTTAACATTTATGTATTGTAAAAATATATATAATCTTTAAAACAAAACTTTCATTAAATAACAAGGCACATATATTACACGCATTTAAAGTTTAAGTAAATATTTGTAATTATATTAAAAGTATTTTGCGTGCGTTTTTTAGTTAGCGAGGCATACCTTTACCATGGTAAAATAGTTCGCCAAACAAAAGAGGTTAAAGAAGATGGTAAGAGTTAAATAGAATTTTAAAATGTAAAATTAAACAACTTTATAACTTAATCAGTTTTATCTTAAGAAAAATAAAATATGTTGACATTTAGATTTCATATAATTATTAAAACTTTATAATACTTTAATGTTTTATTTGATTTTATTAACAAACATTTTTAAACAATTTTAGTTGAAAGACGTAGTGCCCCAGGAGACAAAAAGAATGAAGCTGCAGCTGGTAAGAAAAGATATTTCTGCGGAGGAAGCTGCGCACCAAGCTGCGCTCCTGCTTGTAGTAGCGCTTGTTGTGCAGCGTCTATGATTATGCCCCCATCACCAATGTGTGGGTCAGCAGGTTGCAGCTTTGGTTATCCAGCCGCGTACCCTAGTTCTTATTCATCTATGATGATGGGTATGCCTAGCATGGTTAGCCCTATGGGCCCAATGGGAATGGCTGGACCACCTGGTATGACAGGAATGCAAGGTCCAATGGGACCGATGGGGCCCCCAGGTCCTCCTGGAATGCCAGGTATACCTGCTCCACCAGCACCTCCATGTCCTCCAATTTGTATTCATTGGTGGACTATAATTAGTCAGCAAAGACCACAACAGTTATCATTAGCTTGTCCATCTCAATGTGTTGCAACTAACTGTTGCACTCCTCCTCCAGCGCCACCGCCTCCACCACCAATGATTCCTTTAATGTCAATGATGCCCCAAATGATACCAATATGCAGACCCCAGTGTGCTCCTATGTGCTGTATGCCACCATCAATGCCTTTTCCAATGATGTTTATGCCACCACCCCCACCACCTCCACCGGTGATGCCGATGACCTTAACAATGCCTATTTGTCAAGCGTCTTGCGCATCCCAAGGTTGTTGCACCCCTGTTATGCCAGCTATTCCACCTATTACTTGCCAGCCAGCATGCGCACCAGCTTGTTGTTTGGGAAAGAAATAAACTAAAGACCGACTTATACAATACTAAAGATACATTGTATAGAGAGATAAAAATACTATCATAACAGAAGTAATGACATCACAGTTCAGCAACACTGCTTGACTAAACAATTACAATGACTTTGAACATTAAAATAATTCAAAAAGTTTTTACTGGTATTCGATAGACTTTTAGCCAACTACAAATACATTTATTTTGATCATCCTTCAAAATTTAGAGACTGTTTAGACCTTAACAATATTCTGTATGACATCGACGACATTATCAACACCGATACCAACATATTAGCAACTGTAAAACATCTATAAAGATACTGAACACGTAAATCTTTTCTTTCTCAGCGCTGTATTCGCTGCACAGCATCCGCTGTAATATTATTTTGTACTTCGTTGTTACATGAAACTGTGAAATTTAGGTTGTTATGGAGTATCCTAGATAAACTATACTATGTTATGTTACATATAACTTTATTGCACATACAACATAATAAGATTATTATATAAAAAGTATATTTATATAAATAGTTAAATATATTTACATAAATGTTTCATAAGCATTAAATATGAAACCAAGCACTGTAAATTTACTTTTATATGTTCATTCAATTGTGTAAAATCCATTCAATGCAGTCAATGTAGAGCATTATTTTTTTAAAAAAAAGATTTTTTAGAAAATATTTTAATAATTCATTAAATTCTTTTAATTACTAAGTCCCTGTAAATAACAACTTTTGTTGGAATATTCAGATATTAGTTTAAGATATTGTTTATTAGATATTAAGATTTAGCGAGTTTTTAGTCTTAATTATTTAGATTATTTTCTATATTTTAGTCTTAATTATTTTCTATATTTTAGTCTTAATTATTTAGATTATTTTCTATATTATTATTTTCTATAATGTAAAATTTTCTTTAATAGTTTTCCTTTTTTTCTTTCTTTTTTTTTAAAAAAGTATTACTTCCAGCAGTTTTTATCCAAATTAGATTAGATTACAAACGTAAAATTATTGGTGGAGTAAATTATAATATATTAATTATATAGCAACCATTTTTATTTTGAATTCGTAAAGAAATTAAAAACTTGAATGTAATACAAATTTAAATAAATTCAAATAATAAATTTTATAAATAAACTGCATTTTTTTAATGGATATAATTGTTTTTCCTCATGATTTTTTGAATGATTAAAAGTTAATTTCTATTAATAACTATTTTTGGTTTTGAATGCACAAAGTAATCAATTATGGTGTCGCGCAGAATTTTTTTATTGGGGCTTTTGTTCTTTGAGCTTTTATTAACATTTATTAGTGATTTACCTCAACCTATAAATAATTTTGTTATCCATTATTATGGAGACTGCACCAACTACAGGTTTTAAAAAAGTGAAGTTAGATCTTATTTATGTGAATGATAAATATATAATCTAGCAAAAATTTTTTGGATTTAATAAAACAAGTTAGTTATTGAGAAAACTGTTATTTATTGATGTTCACATATTAAATTAATTCAACGTTCATACACGATGTCGTTATTTAAAAAAACATATATAAATATATATATATATATATATATATATATATATATATATATATATATATATATATATATATATATATATATATATATATTTAAATAACGACATCGTGTATGAACGTTGAATTAATTTAATATATGAACATCAATAAATAACAGTTTTCTCAATAACTAACTTTTTTATTAAATCCAAGAAATTTTTGATTCTAGCATCTTTAGCTATTAAAGTATTAATTTTGTTTTTATTACAAACTATTTAATATATAATTACAAAAAAAAAAAAATTGTTTGTAATTAATTAAAATTAATAGTTTGTAATTAAAGCTAAAGTTGCTAGTATTAAAAATCTTGCAAAAATTTCTTAGATTTAGTAAAAAAATTAGTATTGAGAAAACTCGTATTCATTGATATTCATATGTATATATATATATATATATATATATATATATATATATATATATATATATATATATATATATATATATATATATATATATATATATATATATATATATATATATATATATATATATATATATATATATATATATATATATATATATATATATGTATATATATATATATATATATATATATATATATATATATATATATATATATATGTATATATATGTATATATATATATATATATATGTATATATATATACATATATATATATATATATATATATATATATATGTATATATATATATATATATATATTTTTATTTATATAAACATATATAAATATATATATATATATATATATATATTTATATATATATAATATATATATAATATAATATATATATATATATATATATAATATATATATGATATATATATATATATATAATATATAGTATTATATATATATATATATATATATATATATATATATATATATATATATATATATATATATATATATATATATATATATATATATATATATATGTATATATAGACATAAATGTTACTAACTTATTCCCGCAATATAAATATAAAAATAATTGAAACAATAAAAAGAAAAAAAACACTTGCACAAAGGTCATAATTTCAAACAATTTTTATGCACAAATGCCATTTATGTACTAACGTGGTGTATGATTTGACTCTATTAATTCACCACAGGCCTTATTCAAATACATAGCTACACCAAGTAGTAAAACTTCACATAGCGACAAAATATAAATAGCAGAGAAAAAATATTTATACACAAAAGATTAGAGAATAAGAATAATAAATGATCGTACATATAAACACTCAAAAGATCATATATAAGAGGTAACACACAAAATATAAAAACAAAAAATAAAACACAAAAAGATCGCATATCGCACACAAAAAGCTATTCACAAAGTATTACACATAAAAGTATTACACCGCCTTACAAAAGATCACATGTTAGACACAAAAGGTCACATGTCAGACACAAAAGATCACATGTCAAACACAAAGATCACATGTTAAACACAAAAGATCACATGGTAAACACAAAAAATGTAACACAAGTTTCACACACAAAAGATATCACACAAAATTGATGCGACACACCAACCAAAATTTAAATGCACATCTTTTTATTTTATTTTAAAGTATTTTTAAGTGCACGGATTATTGTCTAGGTTTAAAAAGATGTTTTTGTGCATCACCACCATGTGGCATGTGTTCCGCTCAATCTTTTCCTGCTCCACCTCCTGTTCCTCCTCCTCCTCCTCCACCTCCCTCTCCAATTGTTTTACCTCCCACTGTTATACAAATACCTTTCCCACCATCTTATTCCCCGTGTGGACCTTCTTCTCCTCTACCTCAAATGCCATGTGGCGCTTCAGCTCCAGCAACAGCGCCGTGCAGTAGTATGTCTTCAAACCCAGCATATTCATGCATTGGAGCAAATAGTATGTATCCTTCAAGCGGAGCATCAGTAATACCAGGACCTCCTGGTCCAATGGGAATGCCAGGTACACCTGGAATGCCAGGCGCACCAGGCCCAGTTGGTCCAATGGGTCCAATGGGACCTATGGGGCCACCTGGAATGCCTGCACCACCAGAACCGCCATGTGCTCCCATTTGCCTGCATTTTCAAGCAATTATAACAAAAATGCCTCGACCAAATATGGCAGCTGCTCAACCAGCTCAACAAAGCTACCAAGGATGCCCGACACAATGCGTCCAGACAAATTGCTGTGGACCTGCTCAACCTCCACCACCACCGCCACCACCACCTCCTATGCCATGTGGATTTCCTCCAGCTCCACCTTGCTTTGCTTTCTCTCCTGCTGCCTGTTCTCCATCGTGTGCTCCTGCTTGTTGCGGTCGTTAGCTATGTAACAAATTTTGCAGCTACTACAAACAAATGTGCATCGTCTAATAGAAAGTTTATTAAATATTTATTTCTACCAAATTATTCAGTTAGAAAATGGACAAAATAAAGAAAACAAATTAAAATAATGACGTATAAATTTGAAAAATGAACACTTTTACATAATATAGTTTTTAAATGCTTTTGATAAACAATATTAAAAAATATTTATCGAAAAAAATGTACCCTATCTTTAATCCTTAGTTGAAATGCAAAAGTATTTGATTAATATTCTGTTCAAATTGATAATAAAATGCGTTTTTCTTTAAACTTGTATTAAATTGTCATTGCAAAAAGGTATTAAAAAACAACAACAATAAAACATAATCAAAAGGTCGCTTAATCTCTTTGTAACGGATAATCTGTAAAAAAGTTAACGTCAAAGCCATGAGTAGGACCATGATTTTTATTTATTTTGTAACTTTTTACTAAACCTAGTACGCTTTTATTGATTTTAATGACGTCATAAGGAAATATTTTTAATTGTTACTAATTTTTGCTCAGGAGTTTTAAGTATGTTTAGTTGAATGTTTGAGTTTTAATTATGTTTAGCTGAATGTTTACAGTATGTTTAGCTGAATGTCTGCTTGTAATCAGTAATTTCATATATAATCATCATGAGCAACATGAATACTTTTGCATGTTTATTTATTTTTCCTTTTTTTATATATAAATCACCATGGCATTCCCACATAAAAATTTATTTAATCAAAAGTTAAATAAACAATTAGTTATAACAAAATTAACTTATTTTCAAAATATATGAAAATAGCATTTTAAATTAAATTTTTTTCATTATCAATTACAATTTACATGAATTAGTATTCAACAAACACACACAAAAAAAAATCTCTTTACAAAAACATGATAAAATGTTTAAAAAAGTTTTAAATGAAAAAAAGTTTTCAATAAGAATTCCTAAGATTTTAATGAACTTATTTTTTGCAATTAATTTAACATTTAAAATTAGGTTAGGTAAATTTAATATTGAGAAAGAGTTTATTTTTTTTTAAACATTCATTGGCTATTCTTAATTTAAAACCGTAACCATAAAAAACCATAAAATACCATAAAAAACCATAAAAAACCATAAAATACCATAAAAAACCATAAAAAACCATAAAATACCATAAAAAACCATAAAATACCATAAAAAACCATAAAATACCATAAAATATAATAAAAATATGCTTGATATTACTGTTTGAACTTTTTTTTTTTACGATATTTTAGCAAATAATGGTGACGAATGCCTAAAATTGTTTGCATAAATTAAGAACAGATATGTGACAAAGAATTTACCATTGTGGAATTCGACAAAATTTAGTTCTCTGGATTCCATAATAATCTCATATTGTTTTCTTTCAGTAATTTAATTTTTTATCCAATTTGTTTTATTTATCATTTCAAAGTGTTTTTTTTTAAATATATTTTTAAATGATGTAATCAACTATATCAAATGCTTTTGATAACAAATAGTCAAAAAAATCAAAGTCAACAAATAATCTCAAAGTTACCATTATAAAAAAAATCAAATTTTAATCAAATAATTTTATTCTTGCATATCCAGTTGAATGGTTTTTTTGAAAACCAAACCGTTCGTGTAAAAAAAAACAACATTTTTTGGTATAACGATTAAAGATTCTTTTAAAAATTACATGTGTAACTCTTATTGAGAATACAGAAAGTATTTATTAGGTCGACAGCTAGAGCATCTAATTGATCATTATTTTTGCAAATTGGGCTTTGCAAACTTTAGAATTTAAGGGATAACTTTATTATTTAATGAAAGTTTTATAGATTTAAGTCGTTCCTTAATGATAATATTTTTTTTTACATTTAATTTGTTTTGTAATTTATTTACTGTAATAACAGTTTTTGTTAAGTTTCAGATTTTCGAAAAATTATTTAAATTTAAAAAAGCATTCATCTTTTTTCACTATCTGCATTTCTGTTTTTTTAAAAATCTATTATAAAAACGCTTTTGTTTTTAAATAGTACAGTATCTAAACAATAATTGATTTTATTTCAGCAACTGCTACTTTATTTTTTTTGTTTTACTATATATACATCAAAATAATCTTTGCGTTTTAAATAAATGATTGAATTATAAAAAAAAATTAAATTAAAAAAAAAAAAAAGGTGAATCAGCTCACTTGTGTTTTTAGATAGAGCAGAAGATTTTTATATTAAACTTAAATTAGTTATATGATATTTAGGATATGTATGCCTTTAATTTTAAAAATAATAGATTCATTTTAGATATAATTTTTTAGGCAAAATCTATTTTAGGTAGAATTACTCAGCCGGAATTACGCAGGGGTCCAAAAAAAAAAGTCTTTTGAACTTTCACAAGACGTTCTGAACATTTTTTGAATGTTCAAACGACATCTTTTTAGAACTAATTGCCCGCTGGGTAGTTTTATATAATTCATTTTTTTTTTCTAATTTACATAGCTTTAGATAATTATAAAAAAAAGAGAGATTAGCAACGGCCTTAGCAACATTATTTTTTTCCAACTATCGAAGTTAAGTCATTTTATATTCTATAAAAATGCTTTCCTTAATTATCCAAACCCATCTTCTAAAATACGTCTTCATTTATTACGCCAGCATGGTTTGAAAGTGTTACTTTTATTGTCCTCATGCCAAACTATTCGTTTGTACAATTCGAACTAGAAGATTTATTTACATTTTAATTAATTTGTTCAAAAGGCTTTGTTTGAAAAAAAAGATTCAACGGAATTTTTAAAAATAGTATTAAAAGCAAGAGTTAAACACCACCCCGTTCTTCGTTAACTTGCATTGAAAAGTTCAAGTTTAGTTTTAATATAGACACTAAAAGCTTTTTTTAATGGCGCTACATGAGTTTACTTGTCCCTTCTCTGTTATTATGAGTTAGAGTTTTTTCTGTTATATATATATATATATATATATATATATATATATATATATATATATATATATATATATATATATATATATATATATATATATATATATATATATATATATATATATATATATATATATATATATATATATATATATATATATATATATATATATATATATATATATATAAATTTGAATTTCATACTAGACTTTGCTATACAATGATATTGTATCCGGATATTATGTTGACTGAGCATAGGAACAGCCACAAATAGTCATTAAAACTAATCAAAAGTAGCGTCTGTTATTGACTAGCATTGCTTCATACTGAAGTACTAATCAAGCGCTTAGCCAGTGAGTACTGGATATAAAAAAGACATCTTTTGAACGTTTTGACGTTTTTAGAACGCTCAAAAAATGTCGTTTTCAGTTCCGGTGACCACTGGGGAGTTAGCAATGGCTAGATTTGAACTCATATCGTACAACAGTTCGAGTTTAATAATTTATTGCTCAAACCAACTGAGCTATCCAGCCACATAAGTGATTTTGTGATATAAGTGATTCTGATGATAAAATCATATAAAAACATTAAAAGTATAAAAAAAGAATCTTTTTTTTTTTTCTTTTTTTTTTAAGTGTTTTCCATTCGTATTACATAACAAAATCCTTCACAACATGTAAAATCCGTAGACTTATAAATTCAAAAACTAGATAACAACAAAAAAAAATTACATTTGAAACACTAACATCTTTTTAAAAATCCCTAATGAAATTGAGTAGTTGAGTGTTAAGCTTTCATTATTTTATTTGTTTCATTTTTGTTAATAAAAAAAAATTTGATTCCTTCATACTTTATTTACTTTTATTTTTTAAAAATCTATTGTATATTTTAACCTCACATTAAATCAATCACCGTAGCCGACTGTCAAATGAACTATGAAAAATCAAACGAGCAATGAAAAATAAAATGACAAAAAGTAAAAGTGCTCAACACTTTGACTTTTTGTAATTTTATTTTTCATTGCTCAACGCCATAAAAAATACAAAATTTCAAACATAAAGGCTAAATGTAGGAGGTTTTCTACGATATTAGTTTATTTCCTTTATTTCGGACGACCGTTGTCCCAGTTTTTACGTAGGAAAATGCAGTGCTGCCATTCGCCTGCCGTTATACTGGAACAATGAAAACTCTACCTTTATTACATGTATTATATAATTGCTGCGTTTTATGGTTTTTGTTTAGACCAGCAAACTTTCTATAACGGCATTTCAGTGAACCTATGTAAGCATTTTGAGGGGTCCACTGTAGTTTTGCTTATCGGTTACTTAGTAGATCATTAGTGGCAGCTTCCAAAAGCGGCTAGCCGATAAACATCCATTATTTTACATGTTGAAAAGTTATCGGCTGGCCACTTACTGTTGATGCTACTAATATTTCGCTAAGTAACCGATGAAGCAAAACTCTAATGAACCGTTCAGAATGCCTATATAGGTCCACTGTAAATCCAATACATAAATGTTTGCTAGGACGCAAAAATAGATTTTAACGTGACTTTAACAACCATTTATTTAAACAAAGAGGTTTCTGTCTCCTTCCTTACTAATGTCACTCTTCAGGCTAATTCATATGTATATATGAATTAGCCTGAAGAGGTTTTAAACAAAAGTTTTTTTTTAAACCTAAGATAGCAACCTTAAAGCTACCATATATTCATATGGTAGCTTTAAGGTTGCTATCTTAGATTTAAAAAAAAAACTTTTGTTTAAAAACAACTTTTCAGAAAAAATGTTGTGGTAAAGACGTTATAATAAATTCTATTTGGGTGCTTATAACAGTTTTTTCAGGTTTTTCCTATTACAGTTATTTTCTAGTTTTAATAACTAAAAAGAAACGTTTTCTTTTAATATTAAATTAAATATAAGAGTTTTTAATTTTTTATGATAACTCAATTCACAAAGAATTAAAAAACTTTGTTTTAGAAATAAAATTAGTTTAAAGGAAAATTTAACTACTTTTTATTGCAATTTGCAAAAATTACATCCCATTTTAGGGAGTAGGGGAGGGG